CATAAATTGATTCGCCCCAGACCCATACCCTAATTATGGTGATGAATTCGATGTGGAATTGTGTAAACCTGCCATAAAAGATGTTGGCATTCCATAAGAGGAATTTCTGGTTCGATTACCATCGAAACCGGGTGGTCTAGTTAGTGGAGTGGCGAAATGGGTTTGTGTCCCTGATGGTGGAACAAATCCCCCAGGATAACCAATGGTTCCAGTATTTCCTAAGATCGAACTATTAGTTGATATGCCACTTACTCCATTAGTGGCTATATTACTGGTAGAAGACGCAACAGACTGTGCATTCGAAGGGATCACATTAGATGTTCCCATTGAAGCGGATACATTAGTGCCTGTTGTATGTGGGGCATTTTGTTCCCCTTGTTGATTGTCAGAATTAGACATCTTGTTCAAACGTTTTCTTCTGGATAAGGGTTGGTTGCTGTTGGTTATTTTACCACTTCTCAGGTTCATAAAACAACAAACTTCTTAGGTTCCAACGTTTTTATAATGGTTACGTCTCAACAATCTTTATTTTTGTTCTAAATTCCGTAATGTCCAACGATGGGTCCCACCGGGTGTGCCAATTTGTTTACAGTGATTTCTGGTAAACAATCGCTAGTCCTCCAAACTATCGAATAAACTTACTGACTGTTATTCAATTTCTCTGATAACTCGCAGGATCGACTAGATTGATCCTAGGACGTGTTGGTCATTAGGGTAACTCTCATGATCGAACTGGTATTCATGGTTGGTATTTAGAATGTTGTGTAGGTGTTTAACTTATTTCGATTTCTCTCTTAAAGATCTAAAGGTGCGATCAAATAAACGTGCGCGAAACTAAATTGCATGAATAAAAGTCAATTGTAAAGACATGTAAAAACTGCATAAAAGACAAATAAATGGCTTCGAATCGTAAAGAAAACAGTTAATGTAAAAGATTCGAAATGTGATGAAAGCGTTTAATGCAAGAAAACTGTAAAATGGCTTTAAGTAAAAAAGGTGTTCGAAGGATAAAAATTTGAAGATAAAGGCATGAAATGTATAACAGTTTCTGAAATGTAAAGTATTTGAAATGGAAGGAAAGCATTTAAATGTAAGGCATCAGTGAAAAGATTTTGAATAAAAAGACTTTAGATGCAAAAACTTGTAAATGGTATTGATATAAAGATAAAGGAAAGTACTGGAATTGATAAAGAGTTTTCATTAAATCATAAACATATGGTGTTATCATACGTACATTGCTCTTGCATTCGTTTCCCTAGCCATGTGATAATTTGAATGTTTACTGAGTTTTTTGTACAATAGATATGACACACGAAATCCTAATGCTAAGACTTCTATTTATACTACTTCGACCATAACGGTCTTGCTATAAGATTCTGCCACGTTCAGAACATGCAGAGCAATGCCTCTCTCTTGCTTCCACGTGTCTTCGAATGCTCCAGCGCATAAATTTCAAATTTCGAACATCCCGCTTGCATTTGATTTTCAAATGTTTTGGCATTTCTTCGCTTCGAACGCATTCCTTAGATACAACCTTGTTATCATTTCGAGACTTCTTTGGATATATTCTCATAATTGTCACTCGAAGCTCCAAGCTTTGATATGCTCATTCGAAGCATTGCTTCTACTATTTCGAAACATGACGTTTTGTTTCATTTTAATCGAAACGTCCAATTTACTTTGATTCTAATAATATTATCAAAATCTTCAGCCAACAGATAGCAACATCTAAAGGAGGAGGAAAAGAACATCTAAGACCTTTTGAGTAGGTAGATTCGCTCCTAGTTGCTCGCTTGCTCACAACAAAAACATTCTATACATCAACACTATCATTTTGAAATATTTTCAAAAGACAAACACTTTGTACGCGTTCTTATAGAAACAAGAGCCATTACAAAGAAAACCCTTTTCAAAAATCACTTTCAAAAACACATTCCACAAACACCTCTTTGAACTATTTTTCGAAACAAAACTTTGTACGCGTTCTTATAGAAACGAGAACCATTATAAAGACATTTTCAAAATACTTTAAAAACCCACACCACAAGCACATTCAAACAAAAGCAAGTGATTTAGCAAGCAACTAAGATCCCGTAGATAACTACGGATGAAAAAGGTGCTAATACCTTCTCTTTTCATAATCTATTCCCCGAACTCAAGAAAACATCTCTAAAGGTCTTTCCTGTTCTTTTCAGTCTTTCCTTATTGGATAAAACAAAAGTCGGTGGCGACTCTTGCTATCCGCTTGCGATCAAACGCAAAACAACCAAGTTAGTTCTCCCACCGCGTTACAATCTCCTATAAGCTCCATCTCATGACTCTAGAGATTGCTTATCAGTCTTTCAAGACTTATTTTGTTCAAGTCCTTAACTTCTTGAATGGTTGTCACCTTTGGTTTATATTTGACAAGAAGACTCCTAAGAATCTTCTTGACAAGATTAGAAGTTGTATCGCACTTGTTCAGAACTTGAAGTTCAGATACTAGAACTTGAAACCTTGAGAAACATGGTTTCAATATTCTCATCTTCTTTCCTTATAAACAGTTCATATTATTATACCAAAATATTAGCCTTTATTTATTTTACCTGTTGGTTTGCTTCATAGGTAGCACACAAAGATTGAAAGATGGTTTTGTTGTAGACTTCTCAATTATCTTGATGTACTCAGAGTAAGGTAGATAATCTACCATAATTCCACGCACTCGATGATGTTTTCTGTAGATCTTCTTTTCATCAGGTGTGAGATGGTTTCTGTCAGCAACCATTCCAACTATGTCAACTGTAATAGAAATATCATCTTTAAGAAATGTCCTATAACTCATCATCAATACTTATAATGTGAGTGTACATTTTTATTTTCCATCATTCAAACTCTGTTGAATATTCACTGAAGGCTTGAGGTCTAGAATTATAGTTATTCTTTTCAAAAATACTATGATCATGGTTCACAATATGAGTACCAGATGGATCACTTTCAACACCAGACATGTTTTTCTCCCAAGATCTTTTTTGTACCACCATAAAGTGTTAGAGCATAAACCAGACTATGATACCAACTGAAAAGGGTTTGAATTATGTTTACTATTTCTTTTTCAAAACTCTCTTATCAGATTCTGAACACAAAGTCTAAAATTTGATTCAGGGTAAGTTGTTTGTAGCAGATAAAACAATACCAAGGTAGAGAGTGGGAGAAAGAGAGGCACAAGCAGTTTATCCTGATTCCTCCCATAAATCAGGAGTAGTCAAGTTCCCTTGTACTTCCAAGGATTTCACTATAATCACTTCTGATTATAGTTCAAGCACACAAGCAAGAGACTTTCAATGCTCAAACACACAAGTAAGAAACTTTTAATGCTCAAGCACACAATAAGAGACTTTAGATACTCAAGAACACAAGCATGATACTTCATATACTCAAGCACACAAACAAGAGACTTTAAAAATTTGACTTAGAAATGAGATATTATTTTAGTATTACACTTGATATACAATCAGAGGAGTAATCAAAATAAAACTCAGAAAGACTCATACGACTTAAGAATTTCTAGAATATACAAGTGTTAAGAAATTTTAAGTTAAAGTTGTGCTTTTTATTTGACAAAGTAACAACTCTTTCTTTGTCAATAGTTCGTTGTTGTTTCGTCAAGACTCCAACTCCTTATATAGAGAGATAGAAAAGATTCGTTGAAGAAGACTTCATGCATAAAAGAGTCTTTGGAGAAAGCTTTGATAAGAGACATTGGAATGTTACTAGATATGGTTAATCTTTTATAAAAGTCATTTGAAATTCCTTTGTTCCAAAAGGAATTATCTGGTTCATTTCTGCTGTCTTTGAACTTGAATCTTCACGTGATTAGAAGAAGACAAATTGCTCTCTGAGTCTGTAAGTGACCTATCAAAATTTCTTGATCCTAGTGTTTGGCTGACTTTAGAGTCTAAGTCTTCAGAGTTTACATCTTGAGAGGTTGACTTTCTTCAGAGTTTGATCTTCAAAAGTTGATATCTTCATAGTATTCTTAATCATTATGTTCGTCAGTTTTAGAGTCTAAGTCTCCAGAGTCTAGATCTTTAGAGGTTGAGTTTCTTCAGAGTCTGGTCTTTAAAAGTTGACCTCTTTAGAATTTGTCTCTTCAGAGTATGATGCTCAAGTTTTGATCCTTCAAATTATGGTTCTTTCAGATTCTCTTTAATATTCAATTTTCAGTGTCATAACTTAGTTTCTATCATAAATTTTAGTCTATGGTCCTACACACTAGAACAAACATTAGTATACCCAATTTTTTTTAAATACTTTGTTATCATCAAAATCTTAAGGATATGATACAAATCAATTTTGTTTCAAACGTGCAAAGTCCTCTAATTGAACCCTTCAATTTCAATCAAAATTACGACATTTAACACATATAAGTAATTGAAAAAGGGAATTTTCTAATGGACGAGTGGAGAGTGATCGGATATACCCGTAAAACGAGAGGAAGATCTTAATCTTACTTCGCTTTTGCTCTAGTCTTTTTTTTTCTTCTTTCTATTTCTACATCTTTTCTCTTTCTCATCACCTTTACTCCTTTGTTTTTTGTGTTGCAATATTTAGAAGAGATTAAAAACCTCTGTTAAACAACTGCATAAGTATATAGTTAAAATATCAACATTCTTTAAAACATTCCTTAAAAAAATTCTGTCTAAATCTTTGGCACATCTAGATTAAGACACATACATTAAAAACGACACATGTTGATTGACGAAAATGATTACAAATATGGACAGGCACTACTCTCTCTTTGTCAAATATATATAATAAATGTCCTAACTTTGCCTCTTAGGAATCTCCAAAGAGTTAGGAGTTAATGGTTTGAAACCTTCTATCAAAATGCTAGGGGGTATATCCCAATTTTTAAATTAAATTTTGCAGGCTTTCTACAAAGTGTTATTATATATACATTCCCCTATTGTAATAATGTTCTTGCATGTATAATCAATCTCAAGTATTGTAAAGAAATTAATATGAATGATGAAAATGAACATTGTTGTGGAACTCATTTTTGGTTTCTAGTATTAATGTGTTGGGTTTTTATGGCATTTGCTGCAATTTCATCAGCACTTGCTCTAGGACTATTGTCCTTCAGCCAAGTTGATCTTGAAGTTCTTGTTAAAGCTGGACAACCTCAAATCCAGAAAAATGCAGGTATGTCACAATCAATTAATTAATTAATTAAGTTCTTGTTGACGTTTCTTTTTACCTAAATAAAGGGACTTTAAAAAGTTGAATTGCAAATTGTTATTTTTTTGGAAATTAAGTTTTGAAATTAATTTTCTTAATAATTTTTTTTTTTGAAAAAACTATTTAACGGGAAAAAGACCTCTGAGCAAAGAAAAAATTAATAAAACTTTATTTGATATTTTTTAATTTATTTTAGAGTTTAATATATATGAATTATTCAATGTAAAAAAAAGTTTTATACCGTCGTCCAATAAAAAATTAATAATTTTTTAAATCATTCAAATCATTTTAAAATACCAATATGATTTTATAGAATATGTGTTCATTGAATAAAGATGTAAAATTATTATACATTGTTAGTGTTCTTATTTTATTTTCTCTTTAATTTATTATAAAAATTAAATATTTTCTTTAAGGTTATTAGGCCAAAACTCGTTTAAGATCGAACACAAATAATATATTTTAAGTTCATATTATTACAAGATTTTATTACACATCTTCAAAAACTCAGAGATCTATCAAGGTTGGCTAGTTTAAAACTGAATAATCCATTTGAACATCTCTATAAAAAACATCAAAATTTATATGATCTTTTCAAATACATTATTAAAAGAATTCGTTTTTTTTTTCTTCATATTTAACATATAAGAAGATAAAGAGTTCTTTTACTACTCATAAAAAAATCAATTTTACTTCTTGTTAAAAAGATTTCATTTAGAGCATATTTTTATTAACTATAGATTTATTCAGAAAATATTTTATTTGTTATATTTTTTGAGAATTTACATGTAATTTTCTTTATTTTAAATGAATAAATATATATATTTAATTTTCTTCTGAAGGAAAAAAATTACAGATAAAAACATATTAAGTAAAAAAAATTCTATATAAATTTTCAATTAATAAAGTTAAATTTTAAAAAAATTATTAAATCATTATTAAATTTTATAAAAAAAATTATTAAATCATTAAATTTATTTGCGGTTTTTTTTATTTAGTATGTTTTTACTTATGGTTTTACCTACAATTTTCCCTGCAATTTCTTTTACCATGAAGCCAAAATGTGTTTGAAAGTATCCTTCAAAAATATCTATATATCCTTCTAAAAGATAGTAACATTTATAAAATGAAGTATTTAATTTATTAAAGTAACAAATAAAACTAATGAAACATAAAATGTGTTATCTGCAGCGAAGATTATGTCTATTGTTAAGAATGAGCATTTAGTTTTATGCACCCTCCTCATGGCTAAATCACTTGCACTTGAGGTATTTTATTTACATACTCTCTTCATTTTCTTTTATAAAAAAATTTTAACTTTTTAATTTCATTGAACAATTAATGTATCTAGTCTATATATAGTTCAAATACACCATTTATTTTATGAATCTAAAAATTCAAAATTTTCTTATAAAAGAGAATGAAGGGAGTATATCATTTTAAAATATAATCATTTTATATATTGAAAATCTACAATAATATTAAGTAAAATAAAAAATTGAGGGAAGAGTTTTGTTGTGTTATTGAAGGGTGTTTCTGTTCTTATGGAGGAAATGTTTCCAGAATGGGTTTCTGTTTTATTTGCAGCTGCCCTTGTCAGCATCATTGCAGAGGTATCTCTATTTTATTTTATTTTATTTTATTTTTTGTCTAATAATTTAATGATCACAATTCATTTCTTTAAAATAAATAAATGAAATGAATTTATTCTCATCAGGTTATTCCTCAAGCTTTGAATTCTCGTTATGGTTTAAGATTTGGCGCCACAATGTCTCCCTTTGTTAGAGTTCTTTTACTACTTTTCTTCCCAGTTGCATATCCAATTAGTAAGGTAATTAATCCTTCTATTTTTATTACTTAATGCTTAAGCTATGAATTTATCTTGACTATTTTCCTACTATGAAATGATAGTTGTTGGATTATCTTCTTGGCAAAGGACACACTGCACTTTTGGGAAGAGAAGAACTCAAGATTTTAGTCAATTTACATGCTAATGAGGTTAATTACTATTAATCAAATAATTTAATTAACATCTAACTTTTATTAATTATATGATAATAATGAAGTTTATATAATCAGGCAGGGAAAGGTGGAGAATTGTCACTGCATGAAACCACAATAATTGCTGGAGCTTTGGATTTAACAATGAAAACTGCTAAAGATGCTATGACACCTTTGAATCAAACATTTTCACTTGACATAAACTCCAAACTTGATATGTATGTCTCTTTTCTCTATTAGTGTTAACTAATCATTCTTAAGCATTGATTAGTTAATTTTTTTTATTTCTAAATTTCATTTTTATACTTTGGTTTACAGGCATACAATGGGCATGATAATGAGCAAAGGTCATAGCCGTATACCAATTTTTTCTGGAAAACAAACAAATATTATTGGACTTATCTTGGTAATCAACCATTTGAATATTCTTTTTTTCTATACCAACTTCTCATATCTTGCTTTTTATAGTCTAAAAAATGTGTTGGTAACTGATAGACATAGATATTTTTCAAGTTATAGACCAGTTTGTAGATTTGAGTTAGGTTCTATCTAAATTTTAGAATTGTATCTGAGTTAGGCTCGATCTAAGATCTAAATTTTAAGATGGTGTATGACTCTAGTTGAAATATTTCACTAATTTTAAGATGATTTGGAGTGATTTGCATATGTTGTTTGATTTTAAATATCAATTGAGAAGTCATTAAGTACTCACATTTATTAATAAGGTGCATAAATCTTAAGTTTTTTGAGACCGTGTGTAAGTTAACATAATTGTCTTAAGTATTTGGAAGCAATGTGTATATTATTCACAGTTTAATCATGAAAAAACAAATAAAGACCATATTTTATCACTATTTAATCGTGACAAATAATATATGAGACTCAATGTAACTTCGGTTTAATCGTGAAAATGTTTGGGCCATGTGTGGTAGCCCCTTTCAAAGACAGTTTTGTAAGTTAATATATAGTCTGTTTTACATGTCCTTAAAGATGGCTCGATCGAGTGGTTTTATATTCAAACGGAGACGAAAGTTTCTAGATTAAGATTAACATAAATACTTATTTCAACCATATTTTTTAGGTAAAGAATTTAATGTTCTGCCGTCCTGAAGATGAAACACCAATCAAGTTTATGACTATAAGAAGAGTTCCCAGAGTTGGTGAAAATTGGCCATTATATGACATTCTTAATCAATTCAAGAAGGGTCAAAGTCACATGGCTGTTGTCCTCAAAGAGAAGATAAGAACTGCTGCAATTGATACACAAGGTACAATTCATAATCTATAAAGCATCCACAAATACGTGGACACCAGACATGTCGACATCAGTAATAATTTGAAAAAATGAATTAATTATATGTAATCATAAGTGATGGTGTCATATAAGTGTCGTGGACACAAACTCACATATTTTCAGAAGTATCGGTGTTAAAGAATTCATAATCTAGTTACATATTTTATATGGTGATATAACTATAGACTTTGCAGGAGTTGCATCATTTTTACCACATGATTACATTAGCATCTCAACTGAGGCATCAAATTGGCAATCAGAAGAATCAGAATATTATAGTGCAACATTGAAGAATGCCATGCTTCAAGAAAGTAGGGACTCAGATCCACTTCATAAATCAACACAACATGACACAAGTACATCGTTAGAGAATATGGAGTCCTTTCTACCTGATGAGGAAGTGGTTGGCATTATAACTTTAGAAGATGTCATGGAAGAGCTCCTCCAGGTTTGTGTTACTAACTATCATAGATACTATAAAAATTATTTTAGAGCCGAACCATGTAGACTCATATAATCTTATCAGTGTCAATATTATGTTTGGTGTCTGTCTCTGAAATCTTATATAGACTTGTAACTAATACTTAATACTTAGTTGTTTTCATTATTGAAGGAAGATATATTGGATGAAACTGATCAATATATTGATGTTCATCAAAAGTGAGTACAGTTTCAATATTGTAACAATGCATTAATATTTAGATTGAAGATTATATAGTCTTATATTTTTTTATTCTATGTATCATGTTTCAGTATCACCATAAAATTGCAACATCCAAGAAGAGGGTCATCAGGGTCTTCCAGAAGAGCTTCAACTTCTCATCAACAACGAAGAAGTTCGGATGCACCTCGAGTTCGATTTTCAACTCCAACATTCATTTCACCAATCTCTCCTAACTAACTCACATGCTGAAGCTAACAAATTTGTTTCAATTGTTTTTCTTTGTCTATTGTTTGTCTGGTCAGTGTTTAAGACAAACAAAGTCACTTCCCTCTTTATTCTTTCTTTCTTAAATATGTAAATTATATATTGAAATATATGAATTCAGTATCTCAAGTTACATAAGGTTGTGTTGTTCCATTCTTTAAATGTTTTGATCATGAATAACATAAGGGTAAGAATCAGGCTTGAAGAAATAGTTGTTTTCTTAACTTCATGTTATTTTGTATAAATTTCAGTTAGACAAGGTTTTGTGTATCTAATTATGTAACTTGTGCTTGATTATTGAGTAAGAAAAATAAGTGTGAGTCACAAGTGTTAAGAAAGAAGGGTGGAAAAATCTCACATTAATTAGAAAAATAGGAGAAATTAACCTGTCATCCCATATTATACATGTCACTCTCTAAATTTCAGTATTTTCAAAATATCTCTTTCATTATTTACTCTAAATTTTTTATTTTTATCAAAAAAAAATTACTATTGGTCAAAGGGGATAAATTTCGAAATTTCCGGTACTCTTAGTAAATTTACGGTATCAATTTTTGTCGCATATCGGAAATTCTTTACATTTTACAAATTTCCGGTAGCGATATATCAGAAATTTCGAAATTTCCGGTTGCGATTTACCGGAAATTTTAAATTTTCCGTAAAATTTTACAAAAGTCTCTGCACGTACCAGAAATTTAGCAAATTTCCGGTAGAAAATCTTTATCGGGAATATCAAATTTCCGGTGTACCAGAAATTTCAGTTATACTTGAAATTTCCGGTATGTCTGCAGATGAAGTTTTTGATAAGTATGTGATGTATCTCTTTCACAAATGTTAGAGATTTTATCTAGCACCCCACATATTCCATTAATGTCCATGTTACTTTTGGCAAAATTTTATTTAAAAAATTGGTAGATTAAATTTTTTTTTATAGTATATATGAAAAATACGGATATTTTAAAAATTCTAAATGTTACGGGACATATTAGTTTTTTAAAATTATCTATTTGTATCGAATTTTTTGAGTAATGGTCAAAATTTTGATAGTTAAAAAAGTATTATTTTTTTCAAAATAGTCGTAACTTATTGAATATTTTGTTGACCAATTAAATAGTCGGTAGTGTTAATTTAAGGGTTGAGATTTTGTCAACAGTTTTGTACGACTGTGATTGCACCGACCGTTTTTGTGTGGTCCATAATGAATTCAATGTTGTATAAATTGGGTTCATGTGTAGTTAAAAAAACATCTTACAATGCCTCGTTTTTTATTTAAGGGAGAAGTGCACTTCAACATGATGAAACCTCCTGTAGAGTTTTGACTCCAGGAGGGCACCACATATCTCTCCGTTCTGAGATGTAAGTTAAATGATATGTTACCTGACACCGATAACAGAAAGGTGAGTAAGATCAAATTTCATGTAGAGTGGATTGATATTGATGGAAAGGTGAAATACAACATTATTAAGTTGAAGACCGATGAAAATTTAAAAGTTATATGGAGAATATTTCACCGTAAGCTAACGAAAGGACATGTCGAGTTTGATGCAACAATTTCAAGATCTATCAATGACATAATCAAGATGTTGAAACATCCAGAATCATCTGATAGTGTGTAGATATTATTTTTTATTATTGGTTTCACTACTACAAAAGGAGCATACAACAACGCCAAAGTTACCATGATTCGTCCAAACAGAGTGGTGACATCTCTAAATTCAGCTGTAATATTTTTTTATTTTATAATTAAAAATTGTTAGGATATAATAACGGTTGGTGACCAGACCATGGTGATACAATCAAACTTTCATGGTTCGAACCTCAGCGCCCTCAAAAAATTTATTCCTTTAACGTTAAGGCACGTCTTTTATTTTTATTTTTATTTTAAACTAAAAAAGAAAAGAGATATCACTACGGTTATTTTGTCCAACCGTTGTGATATATTTTGTCTTTATAAAATTTCATTATACAAATAATTTATCATCATGGTTGGTCTTGTTAACCATGATGAAAAGTGGTATTTTTTAATATATAAATGTCGCCCAGTTCATAACAGTCGTTTTCTGTCTAAAGAAAACTCTAACATATCATCATATTTCTCCGGTGACCACTACCCCTAAACAGAAAACTCTTAACACAACCCCCCCTCACGTGAAGTAAACCAACAGATCAAGCGCAATTGTAACAAAGAGCAACGTCCGACGTAAACTCCAACGACGACGAAGATGGTATGTTCTATTTCTCTCTCCTTCGATCTCTCTGTTGACCATTAGAAGTTAGGATTATGATTTTAGAGTATGATTTCAACTTTAAAGTGCATCAGTAGGAAAGTGGTAGATTCGTTGTAATGAATCAGTATGTTGCTTTATAGATCTATTGCAATGTGTGGTTGTATTGTGATGATGCTCATGGTTTAAGTTTGTTGTACTTCCTTGTATATTATGGTGTTGGATGGTTAAGGGGATTGTACATGGTGATGATGGTGGTACAAAGCTTATAGTATGATGGAGAACATATGATTTGTGTTGCAATGGAAAAAATAGAAGAAGTATGAAGTTTTTTTGTGTAATACGGTGAGAGAACTGACTTGTTTTGCATTTTATCGCAAATGTTGCGGATAGAAAGAGTCGCCACCAACTTTTCTTTTATCCAATAAGGAAAGGATAAAAAGAACAGGAAAGAACTTGATAGATTTTGAGTTTGGAGGGTAGGTTATGAAAAGGGAATGTGTTAGCACCCTTTTCATTCGTAGTTATCTACAGGCTCTTAATCGCTTAGCTCACTTTGAAAATTTGATTTTTGCTTGTGTGTTTGAAAATATTTTGAAATTTTTCAATGTAAGGTGAACTTTGTAATGACTCTTATATCGGTCCTCGAGAGTGTATTCAAAGTGTTTTTGAAAATATTTTGAAAGTGTTGTGTGAAATGTTTTGTTTTGAAAGGAATGCGAGCAAGCGATTAAAAGTATCTACCCACTCAAGGTTGTTCTTGTACTTTTCCTTCTCATTTAAATAGTGATATATGTACCATTAGTTAGTAGGAAGTCTTATCTTTTGGATGTGAAGGGACAGACGAAGGGTCATCGTACGATCATCGAAGGCAACTTGTAAGAATGCTTTAGCAATTTCATAAAGGACTGGATCGTTTTCGTAAACAATAAGAAATCGATTATAACTGTTATTTTTTACTTTCTCTTTAAACAGGATTACAAGTACATAAGAATAACAAATAACTTTTCTCACTCTAAATTAGGATTTGCAGTATGCAATGATGAGAGACTAGTATACTATTTATAATAAACTTAACATACTAAATTAATGGTCTTTTCACAAATACCCATTACAAGTTAACTTCAATAATTAGACATAACAAACAGCCCCAATTAGCCATGCTAACAAACCTAGCATTTTCGATAAATGTATGCTTGACCATACTTCGACTACATCATATACTACTTCAACACCAGCATGTGAGCGAACTTTGACTGCATGCTAACCTTTGTCGAACTTGTCGTACCACGAAACTACCTTTCGACTCAATAGAGTTCGATCCAATATCTTAGAAAATCATATCAAGATTATATCTTTGACGATAATACATTCAAAAAAGTGTATCAATTACAATCTAAAATACATCAAGAAATGCATCACAACATAAATCTGCTACTGGTTCCTCCTTCTATTTTTTCATATTGGATTCTCTTTGAAGCTCACTCAATTTGGTGAACTCTTCCATCCTTTTTAAAAAGTGATCCGGTCAAGTTTCTTCTTCTTTTGTGAAATGTGTCATCCACTCCAACAATATACTTGATATAGGACATCTGGTTTCAAATAAACCTCAACAAAATGTGTCATGCAATTTCATAGTGTCACCTGCTTTAAAAAATCTATCCTAAAGAGCAAGAAAATGACAGAGATTAGCTTAGCCCATGCGTAGTTTAACCCTAAGATGTTGGTAATTCCTCTAACCATAGCTTTTTTGTTGAGTTGAGTTCAACACTATTTATTTGGACTCTATATTCACTACACAAAAAAAACGCGTCAATTGTGGAGGGTTAAAAGGTGCTAATATGGCGGTTTCAACCGCCATAATTTACGAAAATGACGTTTTCAATTACCACTATATTTTTGGCTGTCGCTAGGTAAACAATGTCGGTTTTATTTCAACCGCCGTACAAACCGCCACAATATACTTAAGTATAAATGGCGGTTTCTATTTATTAATAATGGTAGTTTGAACCGCCACAACTTTCACTACTTTTCTATAAAAAAAAATGACAATTAAAATGCCATAATTTTCACACAAAAATTATTAATGCAGCACTTATAGCCCAACATTTATCTTCTTCAAATTTTATGACTCAATTAGAAGTAAACTTTTAATAGATAGTTAGTTTTACAATATTTGCACAAAAGAATTCAATTGTTAAAGATAGATTTACAATAAAATACAAGAAATCGAAACACAAAAGTATACATCAAGTCCTGGCCTATTAGTATTCTACATACATTATTAAGTAGTAAGAACTCTGACACTTCTAGTGTAGTAAAATATAATGGTGTGTGGTGGTAGATCAAGACTCAATAGGTCCATGCTAAAATGATCCATGCATCTGCCACCAACTCTTCCATTTACTCATACAGTGCATATGACCTATTATAATATAACATCACTACCTATAAGTGCAAGTACATAGAAGACAAAACTTAGTTTAGAAAGATGGAAATACTTTAGGAGAAATCCCTTGTGATGAGATCTGGGAGATCACATACATTTCATGTTTCCTAAATCCAAATAAACCTTCAATTTCTATGTCACACTTTGTCAAGTCTCTACTCTGGAACCTGTTGCATCTGATTTTTGTATTCCACTGTAATACCTTCAGTCATAAAAAGATATTAATGACAATGTCAACAAACGCTCGGTGTCGGAAAAAATTGAGCTCAAAAACTTGTTTTATTAAATTCTTAATCATT